CCTTGTGGCAAGTGCGGCGTGTGGAAGTGTTGTAACACTCTGACTTGTATGTGAGTGCGGGAAAATTTCGCTAAATTTTACGAACTGTATTTTGTGCCGAAAATAGCAATGTAACGGTGATCAAAGGACTCCACACTCACAGCGCGACCACATTGACTATCTATACATAGAAAGACACGAAGGCGTAAACGCCGAAGTAATACCATTTTTGTGTTTCAACGCTTTGTGCTTGAGTGGGCGAACGACCGACAACGCTAACTTAAAGTAGAAAAATGCTTCGTGAAAAGTAATGCGAAAAATATTTGTGGCAAGCGAACTTTAACGAAAACAAGAAGCGAAAAGCTGAGTGAATTGGCGAAGCGAGAGAAATTAATGAACATTAAAGGGCACAGAAAATGTTCTAATTTCAATGTGAGTGTAAGTATAAACACAAAACTGTGAAAATACACTTAAGTTGAGTAAGAAAAAAAAACAAACAGCAAAACAGCCAGTGAGTAAAACTTTGAACTCGAAAACGGTGCATGTTGCACGTGCGTTGCAAGTAAATTGTATAGTCGAATTTACGATTTTAAAGTTGAAACGAAGATCTATGCGATTTGCCTTCAGCTCGCGACGAAGGACATCAAACGATGCAGGCTATCTTGAAAAGCGGACCTTGAGTGCATTGTGGCAAGCGTGTGTAAAATGTACAAAATCAATTTAGAGTGAGCTTCACACAGCTGCAAGAACGCATAAAATGCGCAAAGCAACAAAAATAGCAACGACAAGAACACTTAGCATTTGAGGCCAGACAAACGTAGAAGCCCTTAACTGCCAGTTTCATACTTCCTTGCAACTCACTCCTACCCAACTTGGTTTCTAATTACTGCACCGTCACTCCATTCCCTACTCTTTGCGAATTTTCACCATGGCCACATACTACCTACGACGACATCAACAAAGCCAACAATCAAAACAAACGTTCTATCAATATGCCACAATTGCCATTTTACTCTTAACGCTCATTGCTGGCGGTAATATGCAGCAACAGCAGCAATTGATGCAACAAGCGCCTAGCTTGCAGCAGCAACAACAACAACAACAGCAGCTGCCACAGCAGAAGCAGCATGCTGCAACTGCAAAGCAACAACAGCAACAGCAGCAGGCTCAGCAAGCGCATCAGCAGCACTCGAACGCGATTATGGGCGAGGCTGGTGTGACGAATTCCCAGCTGTCAAAACCGCCCACAGCCACACACTACGGTGGCGCCAATCTGCAACCTGGCATTGCGGGCGGCATGCTTGCCGGCACAGCTAGTCAGGATCCGCGCTACGACGCGCCCGATGATTGCCACTTCCTGCCCGCCGCTGGACCGGAGCACCCCGAAATAGCGCTCACTTGCAATCTGCGCACCGTCAATAGCGAATTCGACACAACAAACTTTAGCGTCATACCAGCCGAGCATACGGTGGCGCTGCATGTGCTATGCAACGACGAAATCATGGCGAAGAGTTCGCTGGAGGCGCGTTCCTTTGCGCATTTGGTGCGGCTGCAGGAACTCTCCATACAATACTGCAAGCTCGCTAAGTTCAATCGCCACGTGCTGGAGGGTCTGACACAGCTGCGCAACCTCACCGTGCGCACAAACAATATTCTGTGGCCCACAATCAACTTCGACATTGAGGCGGATGCTTTTGCAGTGGTTAAGAATTTGGAGCGTTTGGACTTGTCGTCGAATAATATTTGGTCGCTGCCGGACAATATATTCTGTGCGCTGAGTGGCTTGTCCTCGTTGAATATGAGCGAGAATAGGCTGCAGGATGTGAACGAGCTGGGTTTTCGTGAACGCAGTAGGGAGCAAATGGCCGGCGTGGGCGGCTCTGAACAATCAACTGCTGCCACGCCTGAGCTTTCCACCAAGCGTCAACAATCTACAATCGGCAACAATAGTAGCTGCAATTTCGATCTGGAAATACTGGATGTATCGTACAACCACTTTGTGCTGCTGCCAGCCAATGGTTTTGGTACACTGCGGCGCTTGCGCGTATTACAAGTCAACAACAACGAGATTTCCATGATCGCTGATAAAGCTTTAAGTGGTTTAAAGAACTTGCAAGTGCTAAATCTCAGCTCGAACAAAATCGTCGCGTTGCCCTCTGAGCTGTTCACTGAGCAGGCAGGCTCGATACAGGAAGTGTACTTGCAGAATAATTCAATTAGCGTTCTATCACCGAAACTCTTCTCAAATCTCGATCAGCTGCAGGCCCTCGATCTTTCATACAATCAGATCACTTCCACTTGGATCGATCGCAATACTTTTGTCGGACTTATACGTCTGGTGCTCCTCAACTTGGCACACAATAAGCTCACCAAGCTAGAACCCGAAATTTTCACCGATTTATATACCCTACAAATTCTTAATTTGCGCCACAATCAGTTGGAGAATATCGCCGCTGACACTTTTGCGCCAATGAACAATCTCCACACACTGCTTCTCTCCCATAACCGCCTCAAATACCTGGACGCTTACGCGCTCAATGGACTGTACGTGCTTTCGCTGCTCTCACTGGACAATAATGCCTTGATCGGTGTGCATCCTGAAGCCTTTCGCAACTGCAGCTCACTGCAAGATCTCAACTTGAACGGCAATCAGCTTAAAACAGTGCCGCTGGCTTTGAGAAATATGCGCTTGCTACGCACAGTCGATCTCGGCGAGAACATGATCACCGTGTTGGAGGACAACGCCTTCAAGGGGTTGGGCAATCTTTACGGACTACGTCTGATTGGAAACTATCTTGAAAATATAACGATGAATGCCTTTAAAGACCTGCCCAGCTTACAGATACTCAATCTTGCACGCAATCGCATCGCGGTTGTGGAACCAGGCGCCTTCGAGATGACCTCAAGCATACAAGCGATACGTTTAGACGGCAATGATCTAGGCGAGATAAATGGCTTGTTCAGTAATATGCCATCTTTGCTCTGGCTAAATATCTCCGATAACCGTTTAGAGCACTTTGACTATGCGCATGTGCCACATACGTTGCAGTGGCTCGATCTGCACAAGAATCGCTTGGGTGAACTCTCAAACCGTTTCAGCTTGGACACGCAGATACGGTTGCAAACACTGGATGCCAGCTTCAATCAGATACAGCGAATCTCACCCTCTTCAATACCTAACTCCATCGAGTTACTCTTCCTCAACGACAACCTCATACACATGGTCGATCCGGACACCTTCATGCACAAGTCCAATTTGACGCGTGTAGATCTCTATGCCAACCAAATCACAACCTTAGACATCAAGTCCCTGCGAATACTGCCTGTACATGAACTCCGTTCGCTTCCTGAGTTCTATATCGGTGGCAATCCGTTCACCTGCGACTGCAATATCGACTGGCTGCAGAAGATCAATCACATCAAGTCGCGTCAATACCCGCGTATTATGGATTTGGAAACAATCTACTGCAAGCTGCTGAACAATCGAGAACGCGCCTACATACCACTCATCGACGCCGAACCGAAGCATTTCCTGTGCACCTACAAGA